TCCCTATTTCCTATTTTGATCTTTAAGTGTGTTATACTTTGGGTTTCTTTCTCTCTTTCTTTTCTTTTTTCTTTTTTTTTTTGAGACAGCATCTCACTATGCAGTTCAGGGTTGACCTTGAATTTACTATGTACCCCAGGCTGGCCTCTAACTTCTGGTGATCCTCCTGCCTCAGCTTCCCAAGTGCTGGGACTACAGGAGTGCACCACCACACTCATATAAGAGAAACCATGTGATATGTAAGCTTGTGTGTCTAATTTATTTCACGTTCCTTATTTTCAGTGTTAAATTTTGCCCTGCGCTGTACCCCACACTGTAATCCCAGCTATTCAAGAGGCTGATGTAGAAGGATGTAGATAAGAATTTAAGCCCAGCCTGGACAACATAGTGAGACTCTATCTCAAAGACAAAACTTAAAAATATAATGGGAAATTGTATAATCATATGGTGGAAAGTTAAGAAGTTGTTTTTGTTTTGCCCTAGTCTGAAATTACTACAGTGTGGTGGTACCTGGAAAATCTGATTCTCCACTGCTGTCTCAATATTTTGCAAACCTCTACTGTAGATTTAAAATTAGGTTTGACAACTAGCATTCTCCCTTTCTCACTCTCTCGCTCTTTTTTTTTTCTTTTCTTTTTTTTTTTTGGAAACAGGGTCTCGCTATGCAGTTCAGGCTGGCCTCGAACTCACAGCGATCCTTCTGTCTCAGCATCCCGAGTGGACAACTAGCATTCTCAAAATAGGTCTTGACTAACTAACCCTAGCACTCTAGGAGGCCAAAGCAGGAGGATCATAAGTTTTAGTGCAGCCTGGGCAGTTTAGCAACTCAGAGAGCCTATCTCAAAATAAAAGATAAAAATAAAGGGCTGAAGATATAGCTCAGGGTGGAGACCCTGGGCTCAGTCCTAGTGCAAAAAGAGGTAGGGGGTCTCCTCTGCCTGCCCCTCAGCACTGCACTCTGTGATTCACATGGATGCAGCACGACTGCTGTTCCCTGTGTAATTGTCAGACCCCACAGAGGGTGAGTTCCTATCAACCAGACCTGGTTCTCACCTCTGCCCCTGGTAGACTGATGCCCTCAGGTGAATTGCTTCAAACCTTGGGCAGCCTCATCTGCAGAAACATCAGGATAAAATTAGACCTTATTCTATAGGTTTAGGTGAAGGTTCATGCTTAATGCATGGTATTACTTAGTGGACTCTCAATAAAAGTCAGTTCTTTTATATTTGGACTTTTTTAAAAATTTGGGCATTTTCTAAAAGGAAACTGCAGTTGGGTGTGGTGGTGCACTCCTATAATCTCAACACTCAGGAGATTGAGACAGAGTCGCCAGAAGCTTGAGCCCAGCCTGGACTACATAATAAACTGAAGGCTAGCCTCAACTACATAGGGAGATCCTGTCTCAAAAAACTCATTAATTAATTAAAAAATAAAAGAACCCTGCAATGCCCTAGGACTCTATGAGTATATAAATTCAGGTCTGTTAGGTCATCTTTTCTTTTCTTTCTCTTTTTCTTGGTTTTTTTTGAGACAGGGTCTGGCTATGCAGTTCCGGCTGGCCTTACACTCACTTTGTAGCCCAGGCTGGCCTCGAACTCACAGTGATCCTCCTGCCTCAGCCTCCCAAGTGCTGGGATTACAGGTGTGCACTACCACACCCAGTTTAACCTATTATTGAACTTAATATCTGTCCCTATCTTCCTGAGTGATGGGGTTATAGGTGTGCACCACCATGCCCCGATTCTTTTCTTTTTTAAAACTGATTTTTAAATCTGAATGCCAGACAATAATCATACATATTTATGGGATACCCTGTATTTCAATATATGCATACGGTATGTAATGATCAAAACAGGGTAACAGGAGGTCATCTTTAAAGTCAGATTTGTAATTTCCTTGGGGTTTTGGCCAACTGAGGAGGATACCTTTCTGAAGCCATTAATATTTCATAGGAGCTGTGGAGCTACAGCTGTAAAACTTGCTTGGTGGGCCCTAATTGCAATGAATAATCCATGAACTCTTTTGGAATATAATTCTTCCAAATGGGTAGTATGATTTGATTCCAGCCAATGCAAAAGCACTTTAAAACATGTTTAAAAATTTCCCAAGCCAATTAGAAAACGGGGTGGTCCGACCATGATGTGGAAAAATATGCTAATTTATGTAACGACTACTGTTCAAAGAAGGCCTTGGTTGAAAACCAGTTCCCTGATACTGTGTGACCCCCAGTCACTGGATGTATTTTAAGGCATCTTTAAATGCAAAGCATGTATTATGAATGATATAACGGCAATTAGCAGGAGATACAGTTTTTAAAAAGGTCTTCTGTGTCGAATATTGTATGCCAGCCTGGACGACACGTCTATTTTGTGTACTGTGATCCCCTTATAGTACCAGGCAGGACACAGGACCTTTCTTTTTGTTTTAGTGCTGGCATGGGGGCCCAGTGATAGTACTGACCTTCTACCTCCAACCACCGTTAGGTTTTTCATCCTAAGGCGACAGAGAAACCCAACAATTTTAATTATTTAAATTTAAGGGTTTTTGTTTAATTAAAACTCACCAGATACCTGGTTTTGAACATCCTGCTTCCCAGTACCATCCCACATTAATTTAAAATATTTTCATTTTTGAGGTTGACATATATATCTGCCAAACCTGAATTAGATTCTTGTACAACTATTCATCTTTTACCCTATCTTTGATATTTATTTCAATTAGGGGCTGGGGATTTAGCTCAGCGGCAAAGCACCTGCCTGGCAAGCGCATGGTCGTGAGTTCGATTCCTGGTACCGCAAGAAAAGACAAAAAAAAAAAAAAAACCAAAAAACAAACAATTAAAAGACAACACCACACCCTCCACTATATTTTGTGTGCATTTATAGTTAACTCCAGAGGTTCTCCT